CATAAGCAAGGCAATTATTTCTGCCCATATTTAAAGCCACACAGCGGGAAGTAAGGAGAGATCACTGAACCCACCCAGCCCTTTTGCAGGAGGGGGAAAACCTCTGTGCACAGGCTCCTCACACATGAGCCCATGCATGTCTGGAGGCCTCCCGACCAAAGTCATGGTTAAACCATGGAGATTGCCAAGATGGGAACAGTTTCAGACATCCTACACAACAAGAGGCTAAAACACAGGCGACTCGAACAGTGCACCTTGAGTAGCAACAGATACTGATCTCCTGAGGCTTCAAAAACATCACAAACGTAGTTATTATTCCCAGTCCCATGAAAACACTACAAGAACTTATCCGGCTACCTCAAAACCTCCATCATTTTGAGCGGGGCCTCAACATATCTTTAATAATCCCAAGACTGAAGCCCAAGGGACGTTAAAGCACCTTCCCTTGAAGCCAAAGAACTCCTTAACCTCCCATTCAGACCCCCCCAGTCGCAGGGTGATATCAGTGCAAAATGCAAGGGGTTACACACGGCACAGCCACCACAGAAACGCCTCTGCGGTAACCAAACCTGATTGTGCACGAGATTTGGGCGGCAAGTTTTACAGAGAATAAATATCACACTTCAATTTCATGGTAACTTAGGAAGGTTTACTGGCAAATACCATGGCTTTTACATGGTTCTACCAATTACCAAGCAATTACATGTAACCTAGATCTGGAGGACATACAGTAGCAGTATAATGTATTCCTCTCTGCTTTAAGAAGAAAAACGCAGTTAATAGAAAACACTTTTTTTTTTTAAATCATAAACCCCTCCACAATATTGCTGTGTGACATTATTAAAACTTCACATCAATATCAAACCCAAAGCAAAGACTGCCATCCCATTAACACATCAGATGTGGGACGATCAATAAAAATTTTCTTTAACCTGCGCCATATGTTGCTCCCCACAAAGTTTGATTATTCAGATTCATCAGTTTGTACCTTAACCCCCGTGCAATTAAATCCCATTTAGCAGCACTGACCTCCTGATTTGAACTTGTCATTCCTACAGCCGGTTTGGAGTTTAACAGCACTTTTAAATAATGAAAGCAAAACGCCTGTGAATTAACGGCGGGGTACAGGGAGCCCTCCATCGGGAAGGCCCCCACGGCGCTGCCAGCCGAGAGAAAAAGGAGAAAAAAAAAGAGGAAAAAAAAGTGCCGGCACATTTTAACATGTTGTAGCATATTTGTAAACATTGTTAATCATGGATTAGCAGATGGTAATGTTAATTGCACCTGTGGAAGTAACAAGACCTCAAGGTTGATTACATTTACAAACTCTGATGGGGAGGATTCCTCCCTTGGGCGGCGTTCCCAGCACTGCCCCAGTCTCACGCTGTCCCCGGCACCACCCAGCTTTGCAAAGACCAGGGCGTTCTCTGCCCCAAAGCCCTTCCAGCCCCAGGAAACCTCAGGGGACCCAGGGGTGGACGTGATGGAATGGGATTTTTTTCAGTCGTGTTGATAATCTGTGCTGCAAAGGCGCAATCTGGGGCACGAGCTGAGCTGCTCTGGCAGCCAACTCTCCCGGGAGTGGATTTTGGGAGATGAAAAGATTTGTGTTTGCCCTCGTCCTGGGATAAAAAGGCCGAGGCGTGGAGCACATCTTCTGAACCAAGAAGGACAAATATTTTGCCACTGTGCTTAGAGACACTTTGATTATTGAGAAATCATTTTGGAAGGGCAATTACTAAATTTTAAAATCAATTTGGTAAATAAGCCTCTGAGAGGAATGCATGACAAGCAGCAGAGAGGGAAGAATTGACTTTCAAATTACACACACACACTTTGTTCATATCTAAATATCAAAGAGACTGTATGTACAAACAGAAGTAATCAGGAAGCATGTTTTGATCTTGCTGATGTACACAAAAAAAAGACAATTAATGTCCTCCTTTATGATATAAAGCCAGGAGTTTTTTACAGTTACATTACAGGGACAATTATTGTCAAGCTTAAGGCTAAAAATAATGAAAGACTATAAAAGCTACATTTTAACATTTAAAAATATCCAGGAAATTAACTGGAGAAGCAGGCAATGATCCAATTAATGGATCGCATTTATTAGATCGGGGCAAATTGCACAGCACAAAGCTCCATCTCCAAAGGTGTGACCGTGCAGAGGTCCCCGTGCTTCTCACGGGTCTCAGCCCGGAGCAGGATGGAGTTGGGTTTGAAGGAGGAAGCATCGGCCGTGATACACGCATCCAAAAGCCGTCTGGGTGGTGGCAGAGGGGGATCCCAGTGAAACAAAGCGGGGCCAGAAGTTTCCAGGAGGGAACCGGGCTAAACACAAACAGCAGAGCCATGTGGAGCGGGATTTACTGCGCTCGCAGAAGCGTGTGGCAGCTCTCAAGGAAAAAAGTCTGAGCTGCAGCCCCAGTTACACACGCAAATTCCTGCTTCTTCAAATTCAAGAGTCGTGCAACTCTCAGTAAGCCTCCTCTGAGGAGGCACCAAACCAAGGTGCTCTGCGGATACAGCGGCTGTACCGGGAAATTTCCAGGGGAGTCACGGTGGCTGCTGGACCAATGGACAAGCGACTGCGGGAACTTCTATCTCCCTCGCTCACCCTGTCGGCACTGAGGTTTCAAAGCTCTCTGGGAGCCTTCCAGAGGTAAAGAAGCTGCTCCACCACTCCTCACCTGCCTACCCCTTCGAGGGGGCAAGCCGGCACGGCTAAGCACAGTCTGATGGCACCCGGCTTTCCCTAACACACACAAACCCAGTGAAGTGCCTCATCTTATTAAAGTACTGCTCAAACCTAAAAGCAAAAAGGAGAAACTGCAGTTCCTAGGAAATCAGAAACATATACATACTTACCTATAGGCCAAGAATAAAGAAACGGCTTTATCCCCATCCCTGCTGCTCGAAAGGAAGGATTCAGTTAGCCTCAAGCCTGAATCTTTCTGGAACATGAGCAAATCTGAGCCACGGGCCCCCTCTGCTGGGGCACCCACTGCTGCAGGAGCAGTGCTGACAGGGGGAGTTGGCCTGCAGCTATCCTGGCCCTGAGCCTTTTAATTTCAACATTAAAATAAAAGACACTTTCAGCTCACAAAATGCAAGTGCTACGCACCCGCCCAAGAGCTGTCACGCCAGCAATGCCCCAGTTCACTATTTGGTGACCAGCTTACCTTCACACCTGGACACCAAAGCCCCACTCGTTCTACAGTCATCGTTTGGGGGAATTTGGGGGTTGTCCCTTTCCACAGGAGAGGGCACAAGGGCAGACACAGCTGAGGATACGTGCCACCGTGCCAGGCACCCTCTCCACCACAGCCACAGACACAGAAGTGAGGACTCAACACCTCTGCAAAGCTGTGCAGGATCCCATCTGCAAACCAAGAGGTCACAAACCTTCTCGTGGGGCTCCTTGAGGACCGCTAGCAGTTAAGGGGACAGATGTGGCCCTGAGACACCTCCGTGGCCACCGCACAGAGGTCTCTGAGCAGGAGAGGGAAATAAGACCCCAATCAGGCAATGGGCTGCATGAAAGCCCAGCGCTGGCTCCCACGTCTGCCCTTCCCACGTAGGTGGGCAAAGTCCCTGTGGCCACGGCAGCTGCAGAGCTGTGTCCTGTCCCCCATCCCAGGCACCCAGGGAGTCCCCAGCCCCACAGCCACCCCCACCACAGCACCCATGGGCCAGGGCCACATTGGAAAAACCTCCACATCCACAGCCCGGTTTAGAGACTTCATTTAGCTCAAAGGAAAGTCCTAATTAGTCACTCTGAGTGATTTACTTGTTCATTTGGAAGGGGGGGAAGTGGGAGTCTAAGCTGAATTGTTTGAAATTATCCCTAAAGGGCACTGTAAATTAAGTGTTAATGAGGAATCCTATGCAAAGGGCCACAGTAGCTAAATAAAATAATTAAGGTGCTAAGTGATAACATTCATTTGGTTCTCAATAATTTAGCCAGCCTGGTTTCCAACCAGGATATTTGCAAATGAAGCCACCCTCACTCCCTCCCATGCCATCAGTGGGGATGGTGATGCTGGGGCAGCTCAGCATGCAGCAGGATCAGGCCCAGCATGGAAAGAAAACTTCCCGAAAGAAGAGAACAAGCTCCCGATTCCAATTCCCCTTCCCACATGAAGGAAGTGCCCTGTTCCACTAATCACACCTGGATTTATAGATGACACAAAAAGGATTGATTGGAGTCTACAGCCAATCTTTACAGAGGTTTTATTTCAATGGGCTGCATTTTTCCCTGCTACAGCTGTTTTCTAACAGCTCCTGTCCATCCTTTGGCAGGGCTGCAACATGGTTTACAACCAAACACAACACAGTGTGTTTTCAGACATTCAAGCAGCAATATGTAACAGAGAAACCACCTTGTCATGAAGAGATTGCTACCAAGTAGTCCCAGATCATACCTGGATATCACCAGCACTCTCTTGGCTGTAAAGCAGGTAGCAGGCACAGGGCACAGCTGCTCTCAGCAGCACCAGCCAAGCACCAGCTCCCACCTACAGCCCAAATTCTCCCCACAGCACAAGCAATGTACAAAGTCTCCCATGCAACAAGCACAGAGCTCGCCGCCATCACCAGGTATTTTACTGCAAAAACTGAAGGATTTGGCTGTCTGTTTTTAAAACCCAGCTTTGTCTCCCTTCCTTACAGCCACTCCTCCAAGGTGCTGGTGGGAGGTGTTACCTATCACACACAGGTGTCTGACTGCAGCACTGAGCCAGGGCTCTGGTGGTATCAGGCATCAGTCAAGATGCAGCTCGGGTCAGTGGGGTTCTGCCTGTAACTTGCAGTGATGATGAAGATCCTGGAAAGAGCACTTCCATATCCACACCGACAGAGCACAGCCACAAAATGCCGAGCAGCTTCCCCCATCAAATAAAAAAAACTTCAGTCACCATGCCTCATCTTTTGGCTGCAGATGGAGTGCAGAAGAATACCTGTAAGAAAGTAAACATAAACTTTAAAAATATATTTTTTTAAACTACAAGAACATTGTTCTGCAGTCCTGTCTGGTTATTAAATACAGAAATTTGGGCTATGATGCCTTTGAACTCAGAACTGTTTTTACCAGTAGCAACAGACACATTCAGCGACTCGATCCCAGGGTGCAGTGCTCTGCCAGGGGGTATGGCCAGCATCCGATGGCACAGGAGCTGCGTCTCCAGGGAAAGCCCGTCACCTTCACTGCCTGCAGGACAAAGACACTGCTCAGGTCAGCTCACAGCCACTGCCACATCCCTTTTTCTGCTCCAGAGTACAGTTCTTGCTAATGCTCCATCCCAACTACACCCTGCCCCTAAGCTCACCAGCAAAGTCACCAGCTCCCACATAGCAGCAGCCAAGAACTGCCAGAGGCAAGACAGGCACCTCACCTCCCTTCCCTTCCTGGCCCACTTCAGCCTCTCCGGATCCATTTTCCAGCATCTGAAGCATTTTTGAGGAATACCTGTGCAACACCCCTGCATGCACAGCATAAAGCACAAGAGCACAGTAGCCTGAGGGCGACGATCCTCTGGGTAAACAGCCACCATGCCAGCAGACGGCTGCCCACATGCGTGGGCTGGCTGCTGTCAGAGGGACAAGGCAGGGGCCATGGGTGTGATCTGGTCCAGCAAATCCCACATCCCTATTGATAGTCACAGGTTCAGCTTTTTCAGCACACAGTACCACCAGCTGGGTGCAACTTGTGAATGCAGACAGTTTAACCAGAGGCTTCAATTGATTAGTTGTTAAACCATCCAACAGCCCTGATATGTTTGGGCTGATACACTAGTGAAACAGAGTTGAAATCTATCCCAGGTCATTAGTAGTTGTTTGACTCACACTGTCACAAAGGGAAATGGAAAGGGAGAGGCTTTAAACAATCCTGCGTGCAGACAAGTGAAAATGCAGAAGCCCACAGACCTCCCAGCCCGCTCAGCTCCCCAAAGAATTCTTCCACATTCATTATTTAGAGCTACACAGACAGCTACACAGCTGCAACACCCAGCTCATTTCAAAGACGTGCTTGCCCTCTGACAAATCAAGCTCTACATGCTGGAAGCCAAACGTTCCCCTTCCACAGCCACATCCCAGCCCCAGCCAAACCCCAGACTCGTCCTAGGACAGCACTGCCAGGGCAGACACGTTGCCTGCCAAGGGCTTCTGCGCCTCTGTCTGTGTGACCAGTGCTGCCACCAAGGACTCGCTCAGCTCACCTGAACTTAGACATTTACCCGAAGTTTTAACAGCATACGTGGATGTTTAGGCACTTTCTATGTCACTGGAGACTCACCCCTCCACAAGACAAACAAGGCCCTTGCTGGGCTGAGCTGCCACAAAATTCTTCCCCTGGTGCACACGTACAGCACCTCCCCAGCAGGTCCCTATGTACTGATCTGTGTGACGCCCCTCTGCCCAAGCACACAGGCTAGGAAAGTGTTGTCATTCCCATTTCACAGACTGGAAGCTGAGGCCCAGTCACATGTTTTGCTGGCCTGATCTAACTGCAAGATGCATCTTGTGTAAGGAAAAGAATGCTTTGGGGAATGCATCTTGTGTCATCTTCCTCCATAAAATAAGCCACACAGGCAAAAGCACCCTCTGCCTGGCATAAATGAGCCTTCAGAAAACCAAAATCCCATCCTAACCATTACTGTCCTCTTGCTGTAAGCCAGAAGTGCCACCAAGGCCTGGGTGAAGGTCACAGGGGAAGCCTAGGTGACACAGGAAATCAAAGCCAGGCCTCCCACGGCCCCACCTGCCTCTTCAGGGCTCGACTGTGGCTCTCTAGGGATGCTTCGAGAAAAAACAAGTATATTATCCTAATTTTTCCTGATTCAACACAGAAAGGTTTTACAACTTACAGTCATATTTGCCTCCTGAGCCTCTCAAACCACACTCTTGTGGGACTCTCCAACTGGGACAGCTGCTTTTGCCAGAGGTGCAATGGCTCCTGGAGTAATCCTCTCCTCTCCATGATAGGGGTCTTACGATTCCTAATAAAGGTAGCAATTTCGCTTCCAGCTTTTACAAAGCTTTTTATGGCTCTGGCTGCTTAAAATAATTAGGAACCATAAATTCAGGGCAAAAAGACTTGCAGGGTGTGACACGAGGGAGGGCACACTGACTGAATCAGATTAAATCCTAGTTTATACTGGTGAACAAAACACTTCCCACTTCAGATCTTTGACTTCCAGCTCTTAGCTTTGTCCCTCACTGACAGGCCTCAACGGCCAGAGTCAGAGCTTGGCTGAAACGATTAAAACAGGTTTTCTGCCCCATTTACAATTAACACCACTGTAACAACTGCAGTTTCCAGTGCAGGAAGTTCAAATCCAGGCAGAAGCAGCCGTGCTGGCAGTTCAGAGAAACATGCAAAACGAGCATCTTGATAAAACCAATTCCACGAACAGTCTTAAACCCCAAGCTAAGCACTGAAGGTGTAAGAAGAACAAATTACCCAGAAACTCTTCTTGCTCAGACACCTAAGTGCTCCCAATCTGTCCCTGTCCGCACACGGCTCCCAGTCTTTAGGGCAGCCAGCCTGCCTGTCACCTTCGGCAGCGACTCCGGTGCAGACAACATTAAGCTGGACTGTCCAACTCACTCTCTGCCAAGCCGGCGAGGATGCCAGGAGGGTGAATTCAAGTCTGAAACTGCTTAACTCACAAGACAATCTGCGCAATGCTAGGAAGCTCACTACCATGCTAAATTATCTCTGCTGCTCTCTGCAGCAGCGGGTGCGCTACATATTCAGATCTAGGACGTTTCTTCAAACAACCCCAGCATCAGACGACTGTAATGTTCAATTTTCTTTTCAGCGAAGAGTTAGTGCTCAGCAGAGAGTTGAAATCATTACTGCTGCAAGGTCTGGGAGCTCTCCTCATGCATCTACCAATCAGCCTCCAATCTCCCTTGACAAAAGGATATTTGGACTTTTTCCTGAAGAAATCTCTCATAATTCAAGGTAACGACACCACTGCCACTTTCACCCCCTTCCTTTCTTCTGGTAGTGTTGTCGTTTCTGGATGCATTTCTTTGTGGTCCATCAGCAGCACTGCCAGCCTCCCTGCTCCCTTTATAATACAGCACCACACATCTTGTAGAGATGCCAGATTTGCAGCATTGTCTTGTCAGTATTTCTAGGAGTTCAATAAACATTTTAATTAAAGGAATGTCGTCTGAGCTGAGAAAACCGCAGCACAGGGCAGGATTACAGCCCCTTGATGGCTCAGCGCCAGCATCACACTACTTCCAAGTGTGAAAGCTCAAACCAGCTCTTGTGCCAGGTGACACAAAGTGGGGGGCTACAGCATGGCCGCACCAGGGTGCCTAGAGAAGCACTCCTGGGTGAATTTCTTTCTCTAGCTGCCACGAGGCTATTACTGCCTTTCTCTTCACCTTCTGGGAGGCTGCACAACCCCAAACTCTGCCTAGAAAAGACGGCATCCTTTGCAAGTATTCTCTACACAAAGAGGGGGCAGAAGCAGAGGTCTCTGCAGGAATCGTCCAGTTCAGGTGCTCAGGAAAGCAGCACCCACTGCTCAAACAGCGCACAGGACTGGCAGGAGGAGGTTACAGCCGCTCCTCTTGCCAACACCGCAGTCGCCAACGGCTCCCGCCTTCTCCTCTGCACACAAAAGCAGCCACTGACCGGTCTCCGTGGTGGTCTCTGTGCCACAAAGCCCAACTTTGGGTCCAGACCATGCCCAGCAACAGCTCCTCGTGCTTCTTTCCAGACCTGGCACAGAGGTATATTCCTGTTTTCTAAGAGGAAACATGACAGAGCAAAGACATGGCAGGGCTCACCATTACAGCCTCAGCGTAGCAAGAGCAGACACATACCCTCTAGGTCTCTCACTCTGGTTTGTGGTTCACCAACACAGAAAATTCCGGTTCAGGGCTCTAGGACGGGATCAAAAGAGCTGCACAATACAGTGCAAACCACCACACTGTGGCTGTGCTGATCCAGACCTGTGCTGCCACCAAAACCTGCCATCCAGACCCTCTGCAGCTGCTGAACTCCCTGTTCATCTACACAAACTGGTTTGTTCCTGCACTTCCTACTGGGAGGCTTCTTGGCTTCCCCTCTCTTCTTCTGGGTCTCTATTTCATTTGCAGCCAAATCTTCTTGCTTAGCTTTTCTCTTCCAGGCCAAAGTGTGAGGTAACCTAACAGACCTGCAACTGGTGAAGCATCACCCTGACTGCTCCCTCACACGCACACTTCCACCAAGCCCAGAGGTCTGTATTGAAATTAAAACTGAAATACCTATTACTATAATAACAGGTTTATTCCACCGAAATTCCGAGCAACTGATGACAGGAACATTTTCCACATCCTCAGGCTTGCTGACTGTTCCCACAACTTCCCAGCCTTCTGCAGCTTTAGCCTAGAAAGGGAAAGGAAACAAACGTTTTAAAATTGCCTACTTTTCAAGCTTAGAAAGAAGTCAGGTATGCAAACACATTTTTTTAATGTTTTCAGTTAAGCTGACTGGCTTTTCTAGTTTTTTTTGGCATCCCTTGAATTTTCACCACCAAAATTCTCCCAGTACCACCACACAAACCTTGACTTAAGGAAAAAAAAACAAAAAGAATAATAAAAAAAAGTAATTTTCCTTCTGGTGTTTATTCCAGTTCAGCAAGCAAGCAGCAACTGAAAAGCTGGGTTTTTTTGCTCACATACAACAGTTCTAGGAAGGCTTTTGCCAGGAGAGCATACAAAAAGAGCAGTGTTGAAACAAATCAGCATAAAGCTAATCCACAGAGCAACGCAGTGGAAGTTCTCAGGCACAGGCTGAGCCGCCAGAACCCCACAGTAACGTTTTCAAATACAAGCGCACGTTTTCACACTAAGATGCCAAAATCCAGCTCATACAAAAGGCAGGGCACTCAACATGCAGTGTCCCGCACAACGAAGGAACCTTAATTATTTGTCTCAGAAATCCATTTTAACAATAAAAAAACCTGCCACTTCTTGTCAGCTTCATTTCCTGTGAAACTGGCACTTTTACATGATGTTATAGCAAATTTACACCGGCCAGGGAATGCCAAGCGTTAGGCCAGCGAATCTGGGCCCAATTAAATGAACTGCTGCAATGGCTCAAAACGTTCATAATTCAAGCTTTACAGTAACAAAGTGATTTTTCTAGCTGTTTCAATTAAATATCAATGTATTTTATGTGCCTTTCATTTCACCATCATCCAGAGCTCCAGCTGCCACAGACCACATGGGTTCATGTGGTACATGGTACAACACAGGTTTCCTAGCACCAAGTGGGAAGAGTGCAGGCTTGCCTCTGCTCAGCTTCCTCCCTTCCTCATCCCAGACTATGATGAGCTCTTCCTCAAAGGGACAAAGGCACGCAGTGACTCCGGAAGCCTCCATTCCCCTGATGGTCTGCAGCCTCTGCCCTCCCAGCCCATGCTGAACCCTCCAACCCCACTGCTGCCCCAGGGCTGGGGACCCCACACGATCAAGGGAGGGCAGGGGAGAGCCTGCAGCTCCCTGCTCTGCGTGCACACAGCATTCAGCCAGTCCCCAGCCAGGGCTCAGGGGACCTCCACCAGGAGCTAGAGCAGTCACACGGTGCTATCACGGGGGAATGGATGCACTGTGACAATTCAAAGCAACATCTCTGGGTTTGTTTCAGTATAAATCATTTTTTTTCATGTGCATTCCCTTTCCTTTTGCAGCACGTTCTGCAAAGGGCCCTATCTCACCACACCAGATAGGTACAGCGTAAAAAAGACTCCCTCACACCAGCCCTGGTTTCTCCTCTCTCCGCTGCTCCAAAGGCTGCCCAATGCTGCCATCGTGTGCCTGGGCCCTGGGATGCTGCCTCTGCTGCACAGTGAGCAAGACCTGCACAAGCTGCACAAGCTCCAGTCCCCATGGAGAGGAAAGGAGACAGACCCCATCTTACTGAGCTCACAGCCTGAATATAGGAGACAGACGCAGGGTTACGCTGCCATCGCCATGTTCCAGAAAAAGATCCACAACTCAGACCTGTTACCCCAGTCAATGGGATGGGACTGGGGGTGCATGGTCCTCTGAGACAGCACAGACCACAGGCAGCACACGAATGCAGAGCAGGAACACAGTACACTGCAAATAACTGAGTCCTTTTCCTGTACCTCCACTCTGTTCAATACATGCAGTATTTGAGGTTTTCTGAAAGGTAAAGGAAAACAAATGCAGACTGTTCTACCTTCAAAAAGCTCCGGAGATCATCGGTGCTGTAGACATCGAAGACTTCCATAGCTCCAGAGCTAGCTTTGCTCACTGTTGGAGTCAAGGGGCAGCTGCAAAGAAAAAAAAGAAAGGAAAAATGTCATATAAGACCAAAAAAGGAAATCCAGGAGAACTTCTGTTACTGTATTTCCCTTTCTTGCCTCTGCAACCCAAGTCCAACTAGTCCACTAAAGATCTCACTCACTGTGCATATACATTTTCCTATAGAGAACAGAAATAAACCCAAGAAGTAGGTTGCAGTGGTTTTATGCACAAGTGGACAGCTGAAACACAAAATGGGTTAAATCAAAAAGTACCCAGGGAAGTTCCTTACCAGTCCTGAATGCCACATCCTGCAGCCTCCCTGCAGAGCGCAACGCAACACAGCAGCTGGCCAAATTCAGCTCTCGAGCTCAGTCCTAGGAAGCCCTCTAAAGAAGCTGTGGAGCAATGCAGGCTAGAAACCTCCCTGGGAGCCAGCGGGAAAAGACAGAGAAAAGCTGAAGGAACAGATAATCAACCCCGTACCTGTTCCTCTGGCTCGCCACCACTCTGTCGACCCCCAAGAAGTACGCAGAGCGCAGCAGCGCCCCCAGGTTCATGGGGTCCTGGATCTGCTCCAACACCAGCCATATCAGCTGTTGGTTCGGACTCTCTTCACCCCCCAAATCAGGCTTTTCAGCTTCCTCCAACCTCTTGAAATGGAGAGGAGTGGCCTCCAAACAAACTCCCTGGTGGACCTGACCCCTGCAAAGAGCATCCAGTTCTCTCCTTTTGACGTAGTGCACTGGGACTCCCCGTGCTGTGGCCTGAAGGACAAACTCACTCATAACAAGCCGCCGAGAGCCGCTGGTCTGCTTGAGGAACAACCTGAACAGGTTCCTTCTGGACTGCAAAAGCGCCAGGGAACACGGCGCAATCCCAAATAAGATCTCTGAGCCTTCAGCCCTCACGATGGGCACAGGCTTTCGTTCCAGCCTCTTTCTCGCCTTTGGGAAGTCGACCTCTGGCAAGCTCCACAGCTCCCTGCGGGCTGGCACGGCCTGCTCTCGTACGACTTGTCCCCCGGCCGGGGCCGCCTCTGTGGGGCCGGGTCTTCGTGAGGGACACAGGACCTCGTCACTGCCCGAGAAACCTCTGGGAGTGCCGGCGGGGAAAGCTGGCCAGCGCGATC